TTACGCTAAGTAAAATAAGCCAGTCAGTGAAAGAAAAATACCACATGATCTCGTTCATTTATGGATAATAAAGAACATTATAACCTGATGAACAAAAATAAATACAGAGGCAGAGAAGCATCGAACAGACTGTCAAACTACAGCAAAAAAGCTGGGGAGGGTGGGAGGAGGGGGAAGGTTACAGATCAACCGAAGGACTTATATGCATGCATATAAGCATAACCACTGGACACAAGACACTGGGGAGGGGGTGAGGGTATGTGCCAGGGGGTAGGGGAGGTCAATGGGGAAAAAAGGAGACATATGTACTACTATTTGTAATACTTTAAACAATAAAATTAAATTTAAAAAAACAACAACAACAAAACAAAAACATATTCTTGCCTGGCCACTCCCACCTGCAAAGAAGATACTTGGACCCAGGGAGAGACTTACGAGAGCTCCCTCAGGGCACACTTTGACGTGTCAAAGGACTTCTGAAAGCTCTTCACCTCAATATTAGAGAGGTCATTGTCGCCCAGGCTGAGGAAGCGCAGGCTGGCGTTCTTGTTGAGTTCCATAAAGAGACTGCGACAAGCCACAGAGGTGAGGTCGCACGATTCCAACCTATCAAAGAGGCCCCGAGTTGGGCAATAACTCCAGGGTGGAGTGGTTGTCCATTCAGAGGTCTTCTTGCTGCACCAACAAAAGCTGACTTCTTCCCATGCCTCAGCCAGGGTGGCCTCTGAGTTAGTGCCACTCAAAATGTGGTCCAGGGTCCAGCATCACCTCAGAGCTGGCGCCACCTGCTGTAGCTCAGAGGGTGTGTTCCAGGAATCTGTGTTTTAACACTCCACCCTCTCCATCTCCCAGCCCCGCCCCCCGCCTCCCCACCCTGCCCATCTCTGATGATTCTGTTATAAATTAAAATGTTATGACCCAGCAATTCCACTCTGGGACTATTCAAAAGAATGTTTGCACCCCTATGTTCATAGCAGCCTTATTTACAATAGCAAAGATGTGGAAGCAGCCCAAGTGCCCATCCGTAGGTGAATGGATAAAAAAAAGCTGTGGTCCATTTACACCATGGAATACTATTCAGCCGTAAAAAAAAAGGGGGGGAGAAGGAATCTTACCTTTTGTGACAGCATGAATGGGCCTGGAGATTATTATGCTAAGTCAGTGGTCGGCAAACTCATTAGTCAATAGAGCCAAATATCAACAGTACGATTGAAATTTCTTTTGAGAGCCAAATTGTTTAAACTTAAACTATATAGGTAGGTACATTGTTATTAACTTAATTAGGGTACTCCTAAGGCTTAGGAAGAGCCACACTCAAGGGGCCAAAGAGCCACATGTGGCTCGTGAGCCGCAGTTTGCCGACCACTGTGCTAAGGGAAATAAGCCAGTCAGAGAGAGACAAATACCATATGATCTCACTTATATGTGGAATCTAATGAACAAAACAAACTAACAAACAGAGTGGAGACAGACTCATGGATACAGAAACAGACTGACAGCTGTCAGAGGGGAGTGGTTTGGGGGCAGGGTGAGAAGGGTGAAGGAATTAAGCAAAGAAAGACTCATGGACACAGACAACAGTGTGGTGATTGCCAGAGGGAAGGGGGTTGGGGGTAGATAAAAGAAGGTAAAGGAGAACAAATGGTGATGGAAGGAGACTTGACTTTGGATGGTGAACACACAATACAATATACAGATGATGTGTTGTAGAATTTTATACCTGAAACTGTATAATTTTATTAACCAACTAGAGGCCCAGTGCACGAAATTTGTGCACTGGTGGTGGTGGGGGGGTTCTTCAGCCCGGCCTGCGCTCTCTCGCAGTCTGGGACCCCTCAGGGGATGTCCACCTGCCAGCTTAGCCCCACTCCCCGCTGGCAGTCCGGGGCTCTCACAATCTGGGGCCCCTTGCTCCTTACCATCCACCTGCAGCAGAGGAAGGAGAGGCTTCCACCATTGCCACTGTGCTCGCCAGCCACGAGCCTGGCTTCTGGCTGTGTGGCGCTCCCCCTGTGGGAGCACACTCACCACCAGGGGGCAGCTCCTGCTTTGAGCATCTGCCCCCTGGAGGTCAGTGCACGTAATAGCGATCGGTCGTTCCAGCGACAGGTCATTCCACTGTTTGGCAATAAAATCAATTTAAAAATAAAATAAATATGAGAATCACTGCTCCACACCCTTGTACTTTTCCCTCTGCTAATCTCCTTCCATATCCATGGCTGCCATTCTGGCTCCTGTCCTCTCAATGACTCCTCAAGCATAGGGGTGGTCTTATTTCTGTGGAATTAAATCCCTGGGATTTCAAAGTCCCAGTTCCCTTAGTCCAGTGGTTGAAGAAGTGCAGCTGGGGCTTCAGTAGAGCTAACATGAGAGCCAGTGTTCTCAGCTTCCTTTCCATGTTGGAGCAGAGTTCAGTCTAGCATCAGGCTAGGATAGTTTGTGTTCCTCACTGGAAACCAGAGACTTACCACAGGTACTTGAGTTTGCATGCAGAGTGCTTCAAGGTTCTAAAGATCATCACGGACAAACCAACTCCCAGTTTGTTAGAACTCAAGTTCAGATGGGTCAGCCGATTGTTACCATGGAGAAGCAGGACCAGCTCCTTCAACACCCGCACAGGGGTGATCGATTTGCACCTGAGGGAAAAAAAAAAACACCGAGAAAGCTTGTGTGAGGAGTGGTGAGGGGCGGGGACATTGTTTCCTCATCTTGCCTTTCTACCATCAACACACATACACATAGACCCTCAAGGATGTACAAGATATAAAAGGAGCCCCAAATTTGATTTTTGAGTCATGATACTGAACCTTTGAAGAGGCGATCTAAAAATATATCCCCCCAAAAGACAATAAACTCAGTTGGACATATAAAGTCAGGAGTCAGCCCTGGCCAGGTAGCTCAGTTGGTTGAAGCATCATCCCAATGTGCCAAGGTTGTGGATTTGATTCCCCAGTCAGGGCACACACAAGAAGCAACTGACGAATGCATAAATAAGCGGAATAACAATCGATGTTTCTCTCTCAAATCAATAAATAATGTTTAAAAAATAAGAATAAGTTCTAGCCAGTTTTGCTCAGTGGCTAGAGCATCAGCCTGCAGGGTCCCAGGTTCCATTCTGGTCAAGGGCATATACCTAGTTTCAGGCTCCTCCCAGGCCCAGGCCCTGGTCGGGGTGCATGCAGGAGGCAACCAATCATTGTGTTTCTCACATCGATGTTTCTCTCTGTCTTTCCCTCTTTCTTCTACCCTCTCTAAAAATCAATGGGAAAATATCTTTGGGTGAGGATAAATAAATAAATAATAAAGACAGGTGTCAACCTAGCTGCTTCCCTTCCCTAATCTGCCATGATGAGGTCCTGGGCCCCGCCCTCCCTCCCCCCTTCTAGGAAGGTGACCTCCGACATCAACCCTGCAAGGTCTGATGAAAACCACTCTCTCCTGTTGTTTTATGTGTGTGTTTAGCTTGTTTCTCCTTATCTTGAGGACTAAATGACAGAACCAAAATGTTGGTGGGGGTGGGGGGAGGATGAAAAAGACCACCATGTAAGCCCACCTCCCCTGTACTTGATCCAGCTCCTTCAACACTCTGAGGTTTGAGGAAAGTCATGATCGCCAAATCTTCTGCTCTTAGTTCCTTGAATCAACATGTGTCCGATATTTTAGACCTTGAGGTATGATGTTACGACGGATGAAGAGTAGGATAGAATTCGTTTGCCAAGACTCCAGACAGAGCATCCTACCCAATGCCATCTCCAATTCAACCCTAAGCAGGACTCACTCTGTCCTCTATCAGCTGTTGCTTCCCTGGCTTCTCCTACAAGGTCCTCTTCCATCCGCTCATTATTTTCCATCTTCACGCTGGATTTGAGACCCTGTCGTTTCTATTTACATCATGCTAGAGGACCGGTAAGTCCAAACCTATGCTTCCATTTCAATGACTAGGTCTTTACTCAAAGTTTTTTAGATAGGAAAGTCCCTTCTTTTAAAAAAACAACAACAAAACATATATATATTTGATTTGATAGAGAGAGGGGAAGGGAAAGGGAGAGAGAGAAACATTGATTGGCTGCCCCCTGCACACGCCCTACTAGGAATCAAGCCCGAAACCTGGGCATGTGCCCCGACTGGGAATCAAACTGGCAACCTTTTGGTGCATGGGATGGTGCCCAACACAGTGAGCCACACCAGCCGTTTCTTAAGAAACTGATTTCTTCTTCTTGGGGAGATGTCGCCCTCTCATAAACTATTCTGATCATTTAGGTGCGTTTCTCCAACACAGTGTAAGCTCCATGAAGGCAGGAGTTACCCGTTCTGTTCACGACTCCACAACCAAGATAGAAACACCCCTATAATATCTGAAAAGTTCTCCAGTCCTTCACATCCAACTCAAATCAGCAGCCTCACTCAGCGTCTTAAGGAAAAATGTTTCTCTACACATACCTCTAGGCTAGGGCAAGATCGGGCATGACAGACTCCAATTTTTTTTTTTTAATTTCAACCTATCCTGCCTACGTGGCAAATTCACGAATACAAACACCTTTATTTTCCTTTTTTTTAAATATACATTTTTTTATTGATCTCAGAGACAAAGAGCGAGAGAGATAGAAACATCAATGATGAGAGAGAATCATCCATTGGCTGCCTCCTGCATGCCTCCTACTCAGGTTGAGTATGCAACCCAGGCATGTGCTGTGCCTGGGAACCGAACCCTGACCTCCTGGGTCATAGGTCAATGATCAACCACTGAGCCATGACAGTCAGGCTTTATTTTCTCTTTTAGCCTACTTTCTAGCAAATAGATACTTACTGTAGGAATCAAAAAAAGTGTTGTTCGCCCTGGCTGGTTTGGCTTAGTCGATAGAGTGTTGGCCTGCGGACTGAAGGGTCCCAGGTTCAATTCCCATCAAGGGCATATGCCTGGGTTATGGGCTCGATCCCCTGTAGGGGGCATGCAGGAGGCAGCTGATCCATGATTCTCTCTCATCATTGATGTTTCCATCCATCTCCCTCTCCCTTCCTCTCTGAAATCAATAAAAATATATGTATTTTTTAAAAGTGTTGTTCTGCTCTGGTATTCGTCAAATGGTGAGTGTCCCACACTTACGTCAGTCTCTGGAGTTTGCACCGTGGGTTTCTCAGCTCATAGCAGAGTTTCCTCATCACTGCTGCATTCAGCTTGCTGTTGCTTAGGTCCAGCTCACTCACGTTCCCATAGTGGAACACAGAGCAGATGTCCTGCCACTGGTGAGTCTTGGAACTGACAAGCCTCGTCCTTGATCCGGAAGAGAGAGAGAAGGCTAGTGAGTCCCTGAGCCTCAACCAACACCCAGAATTCACTCTACTGGAGGCAAGAAAAAAAAGACCCTAACAAACTAGGTGTGGGCATCCCCTGGTGCTCTGGATATGAAAATGTGTAGCCCCAAAACCATTGTTCCCAAAATACCGCATGGGTAATCCCCGCAATCCTCAACAATTCTTGTCAGAGGAAAGCAACCTCATAGGTGAGGCGAGGCAGAGGGAAGGTTTAACTCTTAAAAGTTCAGACTAAGTTCAGCAGATCCCCAATGAATTCGGAACTCTGCCCCCTAGCATTATGTAATCTCTGTGCCCCAATTTTCTATCTCTGGAAGGTCATTGAAAGGTCACAAAATTGTTTTAATCCTCACCTGAGGATATTTTTCTATTGATTTTTAGAGAGAGTGGGAGAGGAAAGATGAGAGAAATATTGATGTGAGAGAAACACATCTATTGGTTGCCTCCTGCACACACCCCGACCAGGGCCTAGGCTGGGGAGGAGCCTGCAACCTAGGTATGTGCCCTTCAGTCTGCAGGCCAACGTTCTATCCACTGAGCAAACTGGCTAGGGTGAAAGGTCATAAATTTTTTTTAATCTCAGATGAGTAAAGTAAAACAAAAAGCCTATTCCTCAAGTACTTGAAAGATATAGAATTCCTACTTGATGCCTATTCCATGAGCCCAGAATTGTAGCAGTGTTACAATAGTTGTGTCCAACCTTAAGTGTGTGTGTGTGTGTGTGTGTGTGTGTGTGTGTGTACTTGCCTGTGCTTCATATGTTTACTATCCCTGTTCATTCTGATATACAGACAGAGTTAAAAACCACTGAGGAGCCCTAACCAGTTTGGCTCAGTGGATAGAGCATCGGCCTGTGGACTGAAGCATCCCAGGTTTGATTCTGGTCAAGGGCATGTACCTTGGTTGCGGGCACATCCCCAGTAGTGGGTGTGTGCAGGAGGCAGCTAATTGATGTTTCTCTCTCATCGATGTTTCTAACTCTCTATCCCTCTCCCTTCCTCTTTGTAAAAAATCAATAAAATATATATATTTTTTAAAACACCGAGGAAAAACAGGAAGAAGTTGTGCAGTAGAGAAATAGGAAATGACCTTCCCATCAGAAGATCTGTGATCACCTTTAGGAAAGGGGTGAAATCTCCGTAAGCCTTAGGGTGATCATGCATTGAGTAGGGAATGATGACTGAGCACTGATCCTTGCAAGAAATGGGATCGTCCTTGGGAAGACACTTCTAGTAAGAGCACTTACTCACATGACCCAACAGGGACCAGGACCTAGAGTCTCTGAGTAGGGTTTTAGGCATTCCAAGACGGGACACATGACAGCCAGTTTATATTGAACAGTTATCACTCCAGACAGAGCATCTTACTAATATTCCAATCCGGGTGAACACAAAGAAATTAGTCTTCTCAAATTTCAATTTGTTCAAAATCAAAATGGTCCTTCTCGTGGGTTTTAGGGTTTGAGGACACATGTGGCAGGCTCTGTCTCCTGAGAAAAGCTTAGAAAACATCCCTAGAACCTGAAATCATTAGCAGAACAGCCAGATTCTCTTATCTGGACTGGGAAAAAAAGAGGAGGAGGAGGAGGAGGAGGAGGAGGAGGAGGAGGAGGAGGAGGAGGAGGAGGAGGAGGGGAGAAGAAGAAATGAACAATAAAATAGCAATAAATATGTATCTAGCAACAATTGAATCTAAAAATCAAAATAAATGAATAGGAAATCTAATGAACAAAATAAACTGATGAATAAAATAGAACCAGAGGCATGGAAACATGGGACAGATAGACAAGTCTCAGAGGGAAGATGGGGTGGGTGGGGATAGAGTCACCAAAAAACATATGTGCATATATGCATTACCTATGGACACGAACAATAGGGTGGTGAAGGCCTGGGGTGGGGTGGGAACCAGGTGGAGGGAGGCAATGGGGGGAGGGGGCCATATGTAATACTTAACAATAAAGATTTTTTTAAACTAATAAATAAAATTAACTTTTTCAAAAAAAGAAAGAAAGAAAAAAAGAACCCAACTAGTTGAAGTATTTCTGGGATTCTTCTTCCAAGAGAAGTCATCAATGGTTGTCATTAGTGTCAGGGATGGGACAGGGTCATAGGATAAGAACCAAAGGAGATAAAAATAGTTCTGGATTCTCCTTCCAGCAGACAACGGGGCAAATTCATCCGAACAAGCTTCAGAATTCAGTTGACTCCGTCAGCCCCACTCCCACCCCAACTCAGGCTTTAAGGAGAAACATCTAGCATTTGGTTAAGGTTCTGGAGCTCACAGAGAGCTGGGCACTCATCCAGGCTGAGCTATTCAATAGCCACCAGGGCATAAGCCAATTGTCATTTTATCCTTCACTTTTCTTAGCTATTATGTGTGGCAGTAACCATTCCCCCTCCGTTCAGCTGTGGGCAACAGATGTCAGATGATTCCTTAGCACAATGCCTGCACATACCTCCGTGTGCAGTGCCTGGGATAGAAGTTTTATCTTTAACTTAAATATTATATATATATTTGATTTCAGAGAGGAAGGGAGAGGGAGAGAGAGATAGAAACCTCAATTATGACAACGAATCATTGATCGGCTGCCTCCTGCAGGCCCCCTACTGGGGATCGAGCCTGCAACCCAAGCATGTGCCCTTGACTGGAGCATGTGCCCAAACCCAGGACCCTTCAGTCTGCAGGCCAACACTCTATTCCCTGAGCCAAACCAGTTAGGAGCCAGGGAACCCAGGAGACTCTCCTCCCTGGGTAATGCTGATCAGTGATGTTTGATCAATCCTACCCATTGACAAACACAACTATGACAACCGAATCCCAGGTTACCACGGGAACTGGGGCAGAGCCCGCAAAGACGAGAGATCGTTGAGGAAGAGACAACGCTGAGTTACTCACCCTGACGTGTCCCTACGGCTGGTCAACTCCGTTTGCGGAAGGAGGCAGCTGACGGAAAGCCTGAGCTTACTTAACCTCTGACAGTGCCTCAGACAGAACGAGGTCGCCTGGAGCTGCAGGTCGCCAACCTCCAAGTCAGCTTCCAGCAGGTGGCTCAGAACCTGCTTGACAAAGGTCTCCTCCTGCGTCTCGTACAGGCACTGAAAAAATGGCAGCAACTCAAAACTGTAGGGGACCATGTCGGACACTGAGAGCTCTTCTGCCCATTGTAACAACTGGTCCATGATCCTGGGAGACATCTGACAAGGCAACGCGTCTTCCACTTGCCTTGCGAGGTCCTGGTTCAAGAAACCAAAGGTGAAGAGTGCCATCTGGTGCCAGTAGGAGTTTGCGTCCACCAAGGCATCATCCAGGACCACCCTCATCTCTTGGTGCTTCGAGAGGCCACCGACGGCTCCATCCTTTCCCCTGAGCACGTAGAACATGGCCCCCAGGAACACCTGGAAGCTTTGGTGAGTGAAGGTCAGGCAGTCCTCACAGTCACTGACCTTCCGGAGAATGTTCAGCCGGAGGAGACAACGGATCAGGGGTGCCCGCAGGCGCCCGTGCCCCACGTCCTCTTTGGAAAACGTGAAGTTGGAGGACCACATCCCATGGGCAGCCAGAGAGCAGAGAGCCTGCCACTGCTCTGACCAGCACTGCTTTGACCAGCTCACCTCTGCCGTCTCGAAGACGCTGGAGAAAAAGTAGGCGTACAGGCTGGTGGTGGTCTGGGCGTTCAGCCAGAAGGAAGGACGTCGGGGCATCTGGCGCTTCAGGCAGGAACACACGGTCCAGCACACGAGGGGGGCGGAGCAGGCATGGGACAGAGCTTCGTTCTTTCTGACCCACTGCGCGACTTTGTTGGCTTCGTTTCGGTCCCTGAAGTACCTGAAGAAATATTCCTTCTGGTCTCCCTCCGTGAACCCTGGGATTTGTAGACACCATGGATGCAGTAACAGTTGTTTAAGTTCCTCACTGAGACAATCCCTGGTAGTGACCAGTAAGGTGGCCGTGGGAAGGAGTTCCTTCTTCAACAGGTGGAGTAGGATGCTGGCCGCCGGGAGCCGCTGGTCCCAGTTTGTACATGGCAGGCGGTGGTCCACTTCGGAGGGCAAGGCCATCTCCTCAAAGCCGTCAATGACGAACAGGAGCCTCTCGGGGTGAGTCATGGCGTGTTGGATGGGGATCTGAGAGTCGGCCCAGTCCCGGGAAAGCAGGCCTACCAAGGTGGTGTCTTCCATGTCTCTGATGTGGTGGCAGCTGATATAGAAGACATACTCGAAGCTGTGCTGGAAGAGCAAGCCCTCTGCCCAGTGCAGCACAACCTTCATCGCCAGGGTTGTCTTCCCAACCCCTGCTGGACCATGCAACACGATGGTCCGGGGCTGAGCTCCCGACCCCTTGGGGTACAGAAGGCGCCTCAGCTCTTCATGCTCCCGCTCTCTGAAGTTACGAAGGTAGATGTGGTCTTCTGGCCACGGGATATTGTCCCACATCCCCAGTAACCGAGCCTTCAGCCTCACTCGGTACCTTCCTCTGTGGACTGAGAGAGAGAAGTGAGTCAAAATACAAAATGCTCAGGAGACATTTCAGCTTCGGGAATCATTCAATCATGACATTGTCTAGCCCTGGCCTGTGTGGCTCAGTTGCTTGACCATAATACCATGCACTTAGAGGTCACTGGTTCCATTCCCAGTCGGGACACATGCCTGGGTTGTGTGGGCTCCATCCCCAGCAGGGGGCATGCATGAGGCAGCCAATTGAAGGTTCTCTCTCATCAATGTTTCTCTCTCTCCCTCTCCCTTACTCTCTCTCTCTCTCTCTCAAATCAACAAAAACATTTTTAAAATAATGAAGAATTAAATCTCCTGGAACAAGATAAACAATTTCTGCCTTCAAGGGTCTCGCTTTTGGGAAGAGGCGTGATGGGGGCAAGTGTCAAAAGGTAGCAAAAGTGAACTCGTTTTATGATACACACACATAAAAATCCTACGACAACACAGGAGAGATGAGGATGTCTTTGGAAGAGGGGAAAGGGATCAGCAGAGGCTTAAATTATGAGAAGCATCCAGTCCAAGACATAGAAGGAGATACTTTCGGGCAGGGAGAGCTGCTCATGCAAATGCCCTGAGATGGGGACTGAGAACATTCTAGAGCAGTGATGGAGTGTCTAGCACACACACAAAAATACACAGCTACCTATTAAGGCAACACTGTTAGGTCTAATCAAATAATTGAATTGATGCCCCCTCCCCTGGGAACTGACCTTTAGGCCACTTCACAATGGACATTCCACTTGCTTAGACCACATTCCTCTTGCTAAGACCATTATCTCTTCCCTCCAGACTTTCCCAGGATTGAGACCTACACAGAGAGTTCTCCGCCCAGCAAAAGCCTGCCTAGAGTCCTTTAAAAACCTCTAACTCCTGTCTTTGGGGACTGGCACCATTTGGGATCTCAGCCCATCTGGTATCCAGATGACCTAATAAATTCATAATTCTTTACCCCTTTGGGCCTCATGCGTTCCTCTTTTGGTGACCCTAACAAATTCAAAGTCCAGAAACAGACACTGGCATCTAAGAACTTAGCGTAGAATCAGACAGAATGTCCAACTTGCAGGTGGCTTCCGATTTAACAGACGGGGAAGGGTATCATTTCTGGAATACTATCCATTGGATAAAACTTCAGGAAAAAATGGCCAAGGTGGACCCGGTAAAATGTTCCATCAAACAATTTGTCTGTGATCATCGTAACATCGTGTGCACACACCTGATTGTTCTTCGGGGGCCTCTGGTTCTTCCTCGCCTGGGTCTTGGGGTCCCTGAGCCATCTCTGAAAGAAGCCATGATGATGGGGAATGAGAAACCTCAGGCTGGAAAGGGGTAGGCGCCGATGGGTGCTCTCAGTAAAACCAGCTCTCTCTCTGGCTAGCTTGGGGGTGATTGGGGAAGTCACATCCCCCAGCTCCATCAACCCAACTACTTTGGAAGCTCTCCATGTTGCAAAGCCCACGCCACACCTCAAACCCCTCTCTGCCTCTGGGACTTGGGTCCAGCCAGACCCCCGTTTGGCTCTTCCCCCAGGTGTCCACTTGGCTCACTCCCTCACCTCCAAGTCTTTCCTCAATTCTTACCTCCTCATGGTGGCGGATGACCCCGATAAATCCAACACAGACCCCCTACATCACAAGTCTTGGGCTCTCCCCATCCCCCTTATTCCTTCTCTTTTCCAATGCACGTGTCACCCTCTAACACACCACATGACGTACTTATTGATCCAATTTCTCATCTGTTACTAGCAATGTGGATGGAGCCCATAAAAATCCAGCAGCGGGGAGGGAGGATGGGAGGGAAGAGAACAACCAATGAACTTGTGTGAGTATGTGCATAACCTGTGGACACAGACAATGAGGTGATGATGGCCTGGGGGTGGGGGATGGGAGCGGGCTGTAAGAGGTTAATGGAGGGAAAAGGAGGACCTATGTAATACTTTCAACAATAAAGATTTTATTAAAGATAAATTTAGCCCTAACCGGTTTGGTTCAGTGGATAGAGCGTTAGCCTGTGGACTGAAGGGTCTCAGGTTTGATTCCGGTCAAGGGCATGTACCTTGGTTGCAGGCACATCCCCAGTAGGGGGTGTGCAGGAGGCAGCTGATCAATGTTTCTCTCTCATCGATGTTTCTATCACTCTATCCCTCTCCCTTCCTCTCTGTAAATAATCAATAATTTTTTTTTAAATTTAAACCCAGCAACCACATCCTTGCTTCTATCCCTCCATGTCCCCATCACCCATAGCCCCCCAAACCCCATCATGTCCCCATCCTCTCGGTCACCCATTCTGCATGTCCCCTGAGACTCCCTCATGTCCCCATCCCTCATGGCCCCCCCATGCCCCATCATGTCCCTATCCCCATGTCCCTCCATGTCCTCTCCCCCTTCCCATGTCTCCATCCCCTCGGTCCCCTATCCTCCCCACATTCCCCCCAACTCTGTGCCCCCCATGCCTCCAGCCCCACTCACCATTCATCTGGGCTCTCAGTTCCTCACAGAGCGAAGTCAGCTTCATGTCCTCAGAGATGCGGAGGGTCACGTCCCACACCTGCTGTCCCGGGAAGTACTCCTTTAACAGACACAGCAGATCCGTGGGGTCCGCTGCCTTCAAGTTGGCCCAGGGGATCTTCTCGGAGCTCTCGGGCAGCAGCTGTGGGGACTGGAGGCCAAGTTTGAATTCCTCCAGCTGATACCGGTCCAGGCGCCTCAGGTGAGAGAGCAGCTTGTCATACAAGCGGTTGTCCACAGCCATGTCGGCGGAGGAGCTCATCCTGCCCACACACCAGAGTCCCGGCTTCCCTGAGACCTGTCCCGCTCACAGAACAAACAGGACCTGCACACAAGGAAGAGTGAGAACCGTAAACCATGGCCCTGGCCGGGTAGCTCCATTGCCTTAGAGCAGTGGTTGGCAAACTCATTAGTCAACAGAGCCAAATATCAACAGCACAGCAATTGAAATTTCTTTTGAGAGCCAATTTTTTTAAACTTAAACTATATAGGTAGGTACATTGTTATTAACTTAATTAGGGTACTCCTAAGGCTTAGGAAGAGCCACACTCAAGGGGCCAAAGAGCCGCATGTGGCTCGTGAGCCGCAGTTTGCCGACCACGGCCTTAGAACATCATCCCCATACGCCAAGGTTGTGGGTTTGATCCTGGGTCAGAGCACATACAAGAATCAACCAATGAATGCATGAATGAACTGAACAACAAATCAATTCTCTCTCTTTCTCTTTCTCTCTCTCTCTCCCCCCTCTCTAAAAATTAATGAAAATATATCCTCACCCTAGCCGGTTTGCTCAGTAGATAGAATGTCGGCCTGTCCTGGGTTTGATTCCCATCAAGTACCTCAGTTGCAGGCTCCTCCCTGTCCTGGGCCATGGTTGGGGCACATGCAAGAGGCAACCAATTGATGTGTTTCTCTCACATTGATATTTCTCTCTGCCTTTCCCACTCTCTCTAAAAGTCAATGAAAAAATATCCTCAGGTGAGGATTAAAAAAGAATCAACCAATGAATCCATGTATGAGTGGAACAACAAATCAATGGTTTTCTCTCTTTTTTTCTCTCTCTCTCTCTCCTTTCCTCTCTCTAAAAATCAACAAAAACATATCCTCGAGTATTAAAAAAAGTACATACCAACAGGGTCTCAGATGGGGAGGGATACTTGGTTTAGGGAGGGTTTTGGAGAAGAAGAGAAAGGAGCCATTACACACCAATCAGACTTCTAATCTCGGGAACTCGGAGAAGAGGTCAGCTCCACTCCTACCCCAGCCTGGGACTGGCCCTCTGGTTGATCTCAGCCTCCTCCAGGTCTATCTGTGGGCCCCCCTGATTGATGGCTTTTCTCCCACCCCCTCTGGACAGGTGCAGAATAACAGGTCCTGATAGGTTGAGAAACCACCAAGACCCAACTGTTGGGTGTTATCTCTGACCCCTTCTCCTCCAGGTGTAAATCATCGCTAGCTGGGAGGTGGAGCATAAATGGGTTTCTAACTAAAAACCACACTAGCCCACCCCAGCCCGTGTGCCTCAGTTGGTTGAGCATCGTCCTGTGCACCAAAAGGTCACCAGTTCGATCCCCAGTCAGGGCACATGCCCAGGTTGTAGGGTCAGTCCCCAGTTGGAGTGCGTATGGAAGGCAACCAATCGATGTTTCTCTCTCCCTCTCTCTCTAAAAACAAAACCACACTAGCCTAGTGTAAATGGAGTCCTCCCTCCCCAAAACCATTGATGCCAGTACCTCTCTGGGCTCCGGCACCTGGGAGACCTCATAAAACAATGAAAGACGAGAAAGGGGAAGAAAGAGTTGAGGAGGCTCTAGAATCAGAGGCAGCAATACCATTGCATGCAAATTGTAATTGAAAAATAAAATTAAAGCCCGGCCAGTGTGGCTCAGTGGTTGAGTGTCAACCTATGAACCAGGAGGTCACAGTTCGATTCCTGGCCAGGGCACATGCCTTGGTTGAAAGCTCGATCCCCAGTGTGGGGCGTGCAGGAGGCAACCGATCCATGATTCTGTCTCATCATTGATGTTTTTATCTCTCTCCCTCTCCCTTCCTCACTGAAGTCAATAAAAATATATTTTAAAAAAACAATAATTAAAGTAAAAATAAATTAATAAGATAAAGTCACAGAGGCAGTCACTGGCAGTGAGGAACCCGCCTCCCGTCTCCAGGAACCCTCCCCCCCCACACACACCCCGTGACACCATTTCATCACAGACCTGACCGCTTGCCCACAGAATCAGGAGTAAGTCAGACCCGTCTGAAGGCCACCACTATATCCACCGAAGGGGTTTGCCCATGGCACCAGCAATTTCCAATTGAAATGAGGCATTTTCAATCAGTAATTAGGACACAATGAGGAAGCCACGGGAGAAAGGTGTAAGAATTAGAATGCGTACGTCTTTTTTGATTGCATGTTTTGGATTTCTTCCCAGATAAATACCCAGAAGTGGAAGCGCTGGGTCCTGCGATAGTTCTCAGTTTTAATTTTTTGAGGAAACTCCATAGGGTTTTCCAGGGAATCGAGTCAGTGATATTGTAATAACCATGTATAGTGTCAGCTGGGTTCTCAGGGGGAATCATCTCATTAAGGGTATGGTTGTCTAACCACCGTGCCACACACCTGAAACTAATAGAAAATGGAATGTCAACTGTAACTGACCAATTTTTTTAAAATTTAGAAAAGATGGGTGAAAAAGGGTGAAGGGATTAAGAAGTACAAATTGCCACCCTAGCTGGTGTGATTCAGTGAATAGAGCATCAACCTTCAGACTGAAGGGTCCTGGGTTCAATTTCGGACAAGGGCTCATGCCCGGGTTTTGGGCTCGATCCCCAGTAGAAGGTGTATAGGAGGCAGCTGATCAATGATTCTCCCTCATTATTGATGTTTCTATCTCTCTCTCCCTCTCCCTTCCTCTCTGAAATCAATCAAAATGTAGTTTTTTAAAAGAAGTACAAATTGCCAGTTATGAAAACAGTCATGGGGACGTAAAGCACAGCACAGGGACTGTAGTCAACAATACTGTGATAAAGCCCTAGCTGGTTTGGCTCAGTGGACAGAGCATCAGCCTGCGGACTAAAGGATCCCAGGTTTGATCCCGCTCAGGGCACATGCCTGGGTTGCGAGTTTGATCCCCTGTAGGGGATATGCAGGAGGCAGCCAGTCAATGATTCTCTCTCATCATTGATGTTTCTCTCTCTCTCTCTCTCCCTCTCCCTTCCTCTCTGTGAAAAATCAATAAAATAGATATATTTTTTAAAAAACACAATACTGTGATAACGGTGGATGGGGCCAGGTGGGGACTAGACTTACCAGGGGGATCACTTTGTAATTTATATAAACACCTGACTGCTATGCTGTCCACCTGACACTAATATAATATGGACTGTCAACTGCAACAAATGAATTTGCCGAGGTCAGTGGAGTCCAATCTCATTATTCACGGTAGCTGTGTGCAGTAGTTACCAGGATCACCGAAGTCATGAATGCCGGACCGTGGCTTTGATAAGAAACTTGGGATTAAGTTCCTTCTATTAATTATTAATCAGTTAATAAAGAATTGGAAAGGAGCCCTAGCCGGTTTGGCTCAGTGGATAGAGCGTCAGCCTGTGGACAGAAAGGGTCCCAGGTTTGATTCTGGTCAAGGGCACGTACCTCAATTGCAGGCTCCTCCCTGGCCCAGACCCTGGTAGGGGCGCGTGCAGGAGGCAACCAGTCGATGTGTTTCTCTCACATCCATGTTTCTCTCTGTCTTTCCCTCTCTCTTCCACTCTCTCTAAAAATCAATGGAAAAATATCCTCAAGTGAGGATTTTAAAAAAGAAGAATTGGAAAGGAACCTCGAAAACCGGAAAAACTACTGGTCAAGGGCACATGCCCAGGTTGCGTGCGTGTGTGTGTGTGTGTGTGTGTGTGTGTGTCCTACACACTCTCTCGTCTCCCTTTGATGGGGCCTGCTGCTTTGGGCCCCACATCGGGTCAGTAGAATGGACACTCTGGGTGGGGGAGACTGGACAGGTGAGCAAGGTCAAGCAGGGAATGGCTCTGGAAGCTTCCACAGGGGAAGCCAGCGTTTGAACAGACTCCAGGAGTCTGGGGCGCCCTCCATGCCCGCCACTTCCCCAGGCTGCTCGTTGTGGATCTAAGAGGCCGGACGGATGGACAGACAGACGGGCTTCCTTCACACACGCGCAGCACCTATGAGAACAGCAGGGCAGCACCTGTGGGAACAGCCGTGCGCCCACCTTCACCTCCAGTCCCTGATGCTAAGCTTTCAAACCTGCGCAAAGGGGAAGTGTCAAGGCTCAGCCCCAGCCAATGGGAAGGGAGCCTCCGCCAATATATCAGGGCCGGGCAGGGCCCATGAGTGCCTTTTCCTTCTGCTTTCGGAGATGTTTTTAACAGGAAGGAGCCAGGAAGTCTGATTCCCTTCAGGGGTGAGTGGGGTTAGGGGGTTTCTTTTGTTTCTTTGTGGGGGTTTTCCCCTCTCCTTTCTGAGAGTTACACTAAGAGACACTGGGGTTCACCAAGTTCAGTTGGCCCACGTCACCTTGGAAAAGGACCGGCTCTGTCTCATTGATAAAAATCCTTATCAATGAGGCTCAGTGGGTTGAGCGTCGTCCCATGGACCAAGAGGTCACGGGTTCGATTCCTGGCAGGTGCCTGAGCTGCGGGCTGGATCCCTGGTGAGGGGCATGGAGGAGGCAGCCAATCAATGATTCCCTCTCATCATTGGTGTTTCTATCTCTCTCCCTCTCTCTCTGAAATCAATAAAAATATGATTTTAAAAGTTTGAAAAAGTTGAGATAGCTGTAGTCACAGAAGAGAAATAGTGAGGAGAGAAGAGTAGAACAGGAAGCGGTGAGGATATAGAAATGCTGGCTTTGACACCATCTTCAGTAAAGAAAATGACATTGCTGTGAAGCGGAAGGAAGGAAGGAAGGAAGGAAGGAAGGAAGGAAGGAAGGAAGGAAGGAAGGAAGAAGGGAAAAATTTTCAGCTCAGCTGCGTGGCTTATGGGTTTGGGCACTGAACATGATTTTAGCTGCTGGCTTGCACCACTCACAGTTTGGGCTGAAGTTAACCTACGTAAACTTCCCCTTTCCCCCCTTGTAAAATGAAGGGGAGAGGATCAATGTGATAGACGTCTTATGAAAATGTAAGGTTAAATGGACCCGAGGGTGGTCCAGATTCTACACTGACCCCGTCAAAGATGACAGCTTTTTACCTTTTAAAAATGTTTACCCG